AATTCAACGTGAAACGAAATCAAATCCACTCGAATTAAGGTGGAAAATTGGAGACAGAGTAACGTAATGATGATTGGTGGGGGTGGAACCTCTCAAGTCGTCTGAAAATTGATGGATTTCCACCGGAAAATCAACTGGGTCGGGTTTGGCCGGTTCCTCCTTCCTCTCCTTTCTCTCCTTTCCCCTTCTTTCTTTTTTTATTTTTTTATTTAGGAAATTTAACAAAAAGTCCAAAAAAAACTTCCCTTTTAATGAAAAGTCCTTTTTAAAGGTATAGTGAATAGTACCAGGAAAATATATAAATATGGTTTTTCGTTAAAAGTGAACAGTATGGGAGTGTTATGTTAAACCACCCTTTTTTTTTTCTCATTGGTTGCTCCTTCCTTTCTTGTTTCTCATTGGTCCTCTCTCCAACCTTTACTTCTGATTGGCCACAAAAGCACATACCTCATTGGGCTTTTTCCCTCAAAGTGGGAGTTCAAATAATTTCTAAAATCTATAGTTTAGTAACACAACTTCAAATGTCCGCATCTATACTGTTATAATCCAGACTCGCAAACGATTTTCGCCTACGCGTTTGTGGTTTCGAGATCTATTCAAACCTTGTAACTAGTTTAATTAAAATCTAAATTCAAACAAATTAAAATAAATTCTCGAGAAATAATATAAAATCTTAATAATACAAATACGTAGATTATAACAGTAAAATTCAAGAACGATATTTCACATTTAAGCTCACTAAAAACTCATGAGAGATTTTGAACACGAAGTACTGTTAGTTATAGAAAACAGCTTTATCCACCAAATCAATTCAGTATTACAATTTCCATGGCCAAAGTGGTAAAGCATTCGTCTTCCATGTGCCTTCCCTGTCTTTATATACAGCTAATCATACAAGGACAAACTACAAAGAATCATGACTCTGAGTCAAATGTCTGCATTTATGTTTTAGTCTTCCACCATCTTATGTTGTGGCCTAAAAAGGTCGCTCCCAACTGGCATATAGAGACAACCACCATGCATAAAGTCTACAGAACCCCCCTGTATCCCCGAAAGAAAAACCCTTAACAGCACGTACACCACTCACGTCAGCCCTACAAAGGCAAGTTGTGGTCTATAAAAAAGCCCCCATTGGCCCTCTGAAGATCACAGATCAAAGTTCAAACCATGGAGTTCAATGCATATTTTCTTGTGTTCTTTTCTCTTCTATTCATGCTGCAGTATAGTTCTTGTAGAATCACTGCACCATGCAGTCAAACCCCTTACCCTCAAGTATGTCGCCATTACATTAACACTAACCTCTTATCAACCCTAGATCGTCACCAAAGGTTTGCGTTTCGTGACTTGGTACTTAAAGTTTCCATGGACCAAGCCATTGAAGCTCATCAACTTGTCTTGTCCTTGAACTTGAACTCATTGGACGGTGACCATACTCGAGCCAAGGGGGCCTGGAATGACTGCTTGGAGCTCTACGAGGACACCGTTGACAAGCTCAACCGTTCGATCGGCTCCACCAATACCCTTGATGTCAGTACATGGTTGAGTGCATCGCTTACTAATCAACAGACATGCCAAAATGGTTTCACAAACCTCAACATTCCTAGTTCTCATTTGCAATCTTTCCCAAACTACGTCACGCTCTCAACCAACTTGTCCAAGCTGCTTAGCAACTCACTATCAATACACAAGGTCTCAACTTCTTCATCAGCTCTACATTTTAGCAAACAAATTCGTGGAAGACGACGGCATTTGCTTTCAGATGATGGGTTCCCAGGATGGGTTTCAGCCGCTGATCGAAAGCTGCTCCAATCGATAAGTAGCGGACCAAACGCTGATATGGTAGTAGCACAAGACGGGTCCGGGAATTACAAATCAATTTCTGAAGCTGTGGATGCTGCGTACAAGCTACAGGGTGGGGCGACTAAAAGGTTTGTCATACACGTGAAGGCAGGAGTTTACAGAGAAAATATTGAGATTAAGAAGACAATGAAGAACATCATGTTCATTGGAGATGGTATCGATGCAACGATTGTCACAGGGAATAAAAATGTCCCAGATGGTTCAACTACATATCGCTCTGCCACATTTGGTATGTTTGAGTTGAAACAATAATAAACTTTGAATAAGTTTAAGGGGTATTTGGACTCAACAAACCCCATCATCTTAAGTTAATTTTGAAACTTTAGATGGCGTCACACTTAGATACTAATTGATTGAAGACCAATTTAATTAAGGGTCATTTTGGTTCTGGTAACTAATTAACCTAGTTGTTAGAATGAAACCTTATTTGTTTAAATAGTTTGATCAAGGTCCTAGCATCATTTAAGGGACTTAGCTCATGCATTTATGCACTCAATATCCCACAAATTAAGAAATTTAAAAAAATCCAAACAATATTGTTACAAATATAACAATTACTTAAAAATCAATAATAGAGTAATTTGTTCTTTACATAGTTCTAGCAAAAAAAAAAATGTACCCACGTAATTATTAATATAGTGCAAGAAATAACTATTTGATATATTTTAAAACATAAAAGAAACACATAATATAATTAGCATGGGCATGTTCATAAAAAAAAAAAAAAAAAACTATTGGTACAATTAAATTAAAAGTATGGGTACATATTAAAATTCAAAACTATGGGTGCAAATTTAATTGAAAATATAGGTACACATTAAAATTGAAAATTATGAATACAAATTCAAACTAAAAAGAATATTGGTATAATTTTTTTTTTAACTAGGATACAAATTATAAATAGAAATATATGAAAAAAAATACTAAAAAAATTATATTTGAAAATGATTAATACTTTTTTTTTAAATTAACATATAAGGACTTGTAAATAATTTAATATTCAATTAATGGCATGAAGAAAAGTCAAGGGACCTTGATCAAAAACGAAAAAAGAATAAGGTTTCAATTAATAAGAATGAGAAATGAATGATGAGAACCTAATTCATCCTTTAATTAATTAAGTCATGATCGATTTGAAAGTGCTAGAGAGACCAACTATTTAGACTAAAATTTGTAAACTATATGACACAGTTGTTGATGATGAAATTATTGCTTAAATGTTAATTAACTTGTTTATTTCTTACTAGTGACACATCACATGGTTTGTAAATTAGTCTATCATATTATTCTTCACTTCAACCATGTTTTGTAAACCATATAACATGATTATTGATAATTCAATTATTAAATGTTGATTAACGTGCTTAATTTCTATTATTACTCTTACTCAAATTATAAAGCTATTTACTAGATCCTGCTTTTCCTTTTCCTTTCTTTTTTTTATTTTTATTTTTTTTTATTTATTTATTTATTTTTTCCTTTTCTCGACAAGATTTAAATACTGATAACCTAGCTAATGACATGCCACGTGAATAGTTACAAGTTTTTGTCCTAGTATACATCTAATAGTTCACAAAATTAAAAAATGTTCACTTAAAATTCAGGGGCTACCGGCGATGGCTTTATTGCTCAAGACATGACATTCGAAAACACAGCCGGACCACAGAAATACCAAGCCGTGGCACTCCGCTCCGGCTCCGACCATTCAGTCTTCTACCGTTGCAGCTTCAAGGGTTACCAAGACACCTTATACGTGTATTCCCAACGCCAATTCTACCGCGACTGCGACGTATACGGCACGATCGACTTCATCTGCGGCGACGCCACTGTTGTGCTCCAAAATTGCAACATCTACGCGAGGAAGCCAATGAGCAACCAAGTAAACACCGTGACAGCGCAGTCTAGGACCGACCCGAATGAAAACACAGGCATTGTTATTCATAATTCGCGAATCACGGCTGCACAAGATTTGAGACCTGTACAAGGTTCCTTTAAGACGTACTTGGGTAGGCCGTGGGAAAAGTACTCTAGGACGGTAATTATGAAGAGTAATCTTGATGGGTTGATCACTCCTGCTGGTTGGTATCCGTGGAGTGGAAGCCTTGCCCTCTCCACACTTTATTACGGGGAGTACATGAACTCCGGCGCTGGAGCTGGTACTGGAGGGAGGGTCAACTGGCCCGGTTATCGTGTTATAACTAGAGCGGTGGAGGCCGGGAAGTTTACGGTTGGGAACTTTTTGGCCGGAGATTCGTGGATTCGGGGGACCGGAGTTCCATTTACAGCTGGTCTATGATAATGCATGCATGTGGCTGTGGAGAGAAGTTGTTTGACTTGTTAGGGAGGGACTCGTCACACATGTGTATTGTTGTGTGCGGATAGTGACCTAAAGTAAAAATCGTCACATAGCTTGTTTTTAGTTTCCTTTTGGTAATTATATCCCATCTATCCCTCCTGTAATGCAGTAAATATTTTCAAACTCTTACCTCATGTTATTACGTGGTGTGATTAATTAAGAACTCGTTTGAAAGTGTTTATAAAATAAGTAAAAGTGTTTCTGGTGAAAATATTTTTTGAATTAATTCATGATCAGTATGTAAGTGAATCCTGAAAAGACAATTCAAGTGCTTTTGATACTCAAAAATATTTTTTTCTAAAACCGTTTTTAGTCATTTAAAAACAGTTACAAACATGTCATAGTACGTTGTCATATAACGTTATTAGCAATATGGGGTCAACGATGCCAAGCCATAAATAAACGTATTAAAATGAAACTTCGGCACACATTATTTGATGCCTAATGAAATATCATAAAAAGTGATCACGTACATCTTAGGCGGATACGTTATCACTTGGACCAATTGGATGACATTGGTTACAAATCTAGCCGCTCAGTGCTCAGGACGGTGCTCACGAGTTACATTAGCCGTTGATTGTAGCTACTACTGTGCCACGTGTCGCAAAAGGGAACCCAATTTCTCACCCATGTCAGCATCTCGTACAGAAAATTTAACGGATTTTGACAGAGGGATAAAGTAAGACACAAAAGATTTAGACGAAAAGTCATGTCAAAATGAAAACGATACATTGGTTAAAAGCGACATTCACAAACGCTTTCGGGGACCAGATACGCACCTGAATAAAAAGCAAATTATGCATTGGTGAAAAGCACACCAGATTTTTTTATTTTTTTTTTTGGAACTCCAAGCACACCAGATTTGGACAAGAGAATGCAAAACATCTTTCGCATTATTTTGGACGAACAAAAATTGTTGACATCAGAGACCCACAGACCCATTAAAGTTACAAAAAAAAGGTTCTCTTATTACCAATACTTTTGTTGATAACAAGCCGGTCCTTGTTCATGGGATTTTGGAGATGTGGATCTATGTGATGACGGTCGGGGCAGATCGTCCGGTGAACTCTTGCATCTTCGAAAGCTTAAGAGCAACCTCCACCTATATACACAGTCAGCGAATCAGAGCCAGCCCAAAAAACTTGGCCACAAAGTTTTAATAATAAGACTGAGATTAATGATTAAACTCACAAGAGGACTAAGTGCTTCTGAGGATTCTCTGCCAATTTTCGATGGATCCTTCTCATACTGCTCAATGTAGAGTCGGATTGTGGCACCTTCTGAGCCGGTTCCTGAGAGGCGGAAAACCTGCAATCGTGTTCAAGGATGGGGAAGATTGATCAGCTCAAGTTAGCTCCATGAAGAGTATCCTTCAGAAATACATTTCAAAATAGGTAAAACAAAAAGCGTGTCAACTAACCAATCGTGATCCGTCCTCAAACAAGTACCGGATCCCCTGGTGTTTTGAGATGGAACCGTCAACAGTATCCTTGTACTCAAATTCATCGGCGTTGACAACATTGGAAACATCAGAGCGTATGCCCTTCACAATCCTGTATAAATGAGCAGCACCGGTATGTCAATAAAAATAAAACATCTCTTTTTTTTTAGAAGAATAAAAATAAAACATCTCTTAAGAGTTAAATTAAGATGGCTTTCAGCTTTCACATTGTTTAAAGGAAGACAAGCTCAACTAAACTAAAGCATGTCAACTTTCAAACCATAATTGGACCTATCGGGGTGTTGTTTCTTCGAAACCTAAAACAGAAAATACCAAGAAGGTTCTCTCCAGACAGAGAACATGTACATAACAACCCCAAATAGGCAAATATCCAACAACTATACAAGGTGTTGCACAACAACGCAATTGAGAAAATTATCAAGAGAGACCGCCCTCACATAGACCAATTCTAATCTCAAATGAAGTATCCACATAGACAAGTATTGAATTCACAAAATTAACTAAACCGGGAACCCATGGACAAGAATTTCAACTCAGAACAAGTCTATGACTGTTGAATTTCCTTTTCACCCATTTTATATTCTTCAAGAAAGGGGGCAACAGCATGAATTTCCTGTTATGTATAAGTTTCCAACAAGTTTCAGTTAATAGTCTGAGAAACGACAAGAGTAAACATACGTGTTGACTTCAGAAAGGTCAGATTGCAATTTCACCAAAGAAGCCATCAGTTCCTTTGCTTTACCTGCATCCACATTCTTCAAGAAAAAATATACAACAATTAATAGCAGTACAAGATTATCAAGTTGAACATTGGGAAGAACACCTCAAAATGTTACCAAACCTCATAGTCATATCGTGTATAATAATGGCGACCAAACGTAGCCCAATGCTTACGAACTATGTCCTCAACACTGACAAGCTTCTCCCCGCCAAGATTTTCCTTATTTTTATAAGCAAGTATGGATAACCAAGCTAAAACTGCCCAGATACCATCTTTCTCACGGATATGGTCGGAACCTGTCCAAGGACACAACAAATGACAATGCACCAAGATTGTATAAGTTTCTAACAATTCCAATGTTGATTTAACTACTTTAGAGGGTACTTCCTGAAAACTGACCTGTTCCAAAACTTTCTTCCCCACAAACTGAGCATAAACTAGCATCCATTAAATTACCGAAAAATTTCCAGCCAGTAGGTACCTGGGGTTTATAGTAAATACAACTAAAGTTAAAATTTTATTATGCCAGCAGCATAGGGACTGGAGAGAGGGAGGGAGAGTACCTCAAAAAACTTCAAATTCAAATGTTTGGCTACAACATCAAGGGCAGCAGAGGTAGGCATGCTCCTAGAAGTGGGAAAGGTCAAAAGATGAAATCAAGAACACTAGGCATGAAACGAGATATCCAAAAGACAGACATTTTATAAAAAGATTATTCAAACCCCACGATAATAGATTGCCAAATTCTGAAGTCAACAAATACTCTAGGACATGAATGAAAAACTTTTAACAAATTTACATTGCTCTATAATGAAATAGACTGCAAGCTAAGCAGCACAATAAAGTACCTGGCAACTCCTTTCAGACCAGTTTTGAAGTAAGGTATGGCGTCAACTGCATTTGCAGCAATGATGGCTACAGAATCCGATGGGGTAACAAAAAACCTAATAAAACAAGACAAGTTATGAATGCAACTTAAAGACAAGATTAGAACTAATTCACAAGTCTGATGCTACCTTTTACCAAGGACCATGTTACGATCAGCATCACCATCAGCAGCAGCACCAAACTCTGGGGGCTCATCTGCAGTATTTGATTTACCCAGTCCCATACGTGCAACCAACTCCTTTGCATAGGTCAGATTAGGATCTGGATGCCCTCCTCCAAAGTCTTCCTGTTTGCATGAAGTCAGTCACAGGAAAAAGAGTGAATCAAATGGATACAATGAATTTAGACTCTATATTATTAGTGACCATAAACTAAACTTTTTTCAGAACATAGAAACACCTTGGGTACACAGTTCAGTAATGAGCTTTCTTTTGCACCAAGCTCTTCCACAAAAATACGTTTTGCATAAGCTCCAGCAACTCCATGAAGCGCGTCATAACTTTGACATGATGACAGAGATAAGTCACACCACCTTTGATACTATGTGTGTACCCAAAAAGGAACTATTGGACTAAAGAAAATGAAAAACAGGAGCTATGTACATACCAGAATGAGAATTTTGGAGATGATAGCAGCTTCCGGATAGACTCGAAATCAAAGATTGACCTGGAAAATGAGAAGTAATTAAGTCAAATGAACACTGTCCTGATATTAAGCTAAGAAAATCACACACAAAAATGAAACCAAATTCATAGAGACAAGAGTTCCTCTAAGAGATGTGCTTACTTCATCAATTTCACATAATCACTTGCCGAATCAAAAACATCAACATCGAAAGTTCCACCGTCCACCGAAAAGGTGGTGACACCTACCTTAGTGATATCCACCTGTCACATACAGTGGAAGTTCTGTCATTACAATAAATGGAACTCAATCCTGCAGCAGTCTTGTAATCAAATTTAAAGTAAATAAAAAATATGGAGCCTAGATTTGATGGATTACATCAGGTAGGTCGACTGTAAAATACTCCTTTATTTTTGTTGTGTTCTCATATATCTTGTCAGTGATTGACTCTGGAGCAGGTCCACCATTTCCCATGTTGTACTTAATCCCAAAATCCTGCAATATTACCAATCAGTACCAAGTAACAATTGTTGGCTCTGCCAACTGTTTGAACAGACTATTATATTTACTTTCTTCTCCTAATTCCAAACAAACTTATTGTTTCATAGTGTTCCTCTTCCAAGAAATATGTTACCATCCATCTCTTTGGAACAGCATCTTATTTGATGCTTAGATACCAGATGATTTGCAGGAATCATCCGATAATTATATAACGTTCGTAATTCTTTATAATTTATAACACAAGCATATTTAGGCAGGTATCACTAACCTCATTTGGGCCACCTGGATTGTGACTGGCGGTCAGTATAAATGCTCCTGATGCCCTTGATCCCTGGATTCAAATCACAGACATATGAAGCAGTTCACAACCAATAATATTAATGGTGATGATGATTACAATAAGGGCTAGATCCTAACTCAATATAACTTACATCTGCACCAACTCTTTCACGTACGACAGCTGACACAGCAGGAGTTGAAAGCAATCCATTCTGACCGACCCAAACACTTCTTACTCCATTGCCTGCTGCCATCTTAATGATGATCTGTCAACATTGTAGAAATAGAAGACATTACATTTCTCATTACAAGTTATATTAGAAGAATCAATAAACCCTTGATTCCCCCACCAAAAGAAAAAAAAAAAAAAAAAAAAAAGGGGGAAATGAGCTCTATCTGGCTCAAGGGGCAGGCCTTCCCAAGCCCAACCCTTGTCAATTGCAGCAAAAAGGTATGCAGATCCAAACAACATTTTCAGTTTCATTGCTTACCAAGTACAAATTATATACACCATCACAAGAAAATATCAAGTTGCATTCAGAAATTTTATGGAATGCAAATTACCTGAATGGCATCCTTTGAGAAATAGCGACCATCACCAGATACAACAAGTCTAGCACCTAGAAGAAACAAAAAACAATAAGCTTCGGAGACATTCTCAAACAAAAAAAAAAAAAAAAAAAACTTGAAACTAAATCAACAAAATATTCAAACACGGGGAGTACAGCATGAGGGGTAATGTATCGTTTTTGGTGAAGTGAGGAACGATATCTTAAGTATTGAGAGGAAATTTTTTTTACTATTTGATCATTCTTGTATTTCCTTCTATTTACAAAAGCGGCAATCGACATTGTTGCTACCTGGCCAACATCACCTCTAGTATTGGGCGTCCATTTAATCTAACTGAATTCCTCCGTTCAATCTTGGACATACATAATGCCTCAGTTTAATTCTTACCACATGACAAAATTACGAGTCTAAATGGCATCTACAAATAGACGACAAAGTGCAACTCAGTAGAATCGTAGACAACAAAATGAGTATTATTTAACATCAACTGACTTGCAAGTTCAAATGCAAGAATGCAAATGACTACAAATCACTCCATTGTGTTCAGCAAGGGAATAAAGAGCAATGAAAATAGTATGATTCAGTGATCCCTACCTTTAACTTGATCCGATGGAAGGGCATTGAATGTTGACTGAACAAAATTTTGCAAGTAATGAGGTTGCGTAAAAACTTTCACCTGAAAAGTTAAAGCCACCATTATAATAAGATAATCACAGCAATCTGAGAAGTATATTTTAGCGTAGAGAACAGGCATGCATTTTCTAACAGCCAATCTCTACCCTACCGAAAATCATATCGAATTTCGACTGAATCAATCATCAACACAAATTTTATATTAGAATTAAACCAGTTTAACTAAGATGTGATTAGTTCATAAACTTCTGGAATCATATTCTGCACTATAAATAAGATCTAATTAGCTTAGAAAGATCTAAAGATCGGGTGCACGGATCAACCGGATCGATTTGATCTAACAGAGATCAGACTTGAACAATTTCGATTTCATACACTGATAAGTAATCTGGAAACAGCAAAACATCGGAAAACAATGCAAGAATTCACCAAATCAAACGACGAAAAATTGATCGCATCAAACAGAGTGCAGGATTTGCCCGAACGCAACAGATCCAGCATTCATGCAAAGGAAATTCGATTACGAATTGAAAGACAAAAAAGGGTGAGAGAGAGAGAGAGAGATGAACCTTCTTGCGGAGGCCAGAGGTTCCGGGCTTCTGGCCATCGAACGGCGTCGTATCCACCTTCCTAACCTGCCCCGACGACATTATGCTCGCTGAGAACGAAACGCAATTCAAATCACAGAGAGAGGTGGAGAGGGAAAGAGAGATTGGAGATTGGAGTTTAGAGAGAGAAAGAAAGAGAGATTTATAACGGAACTGGAAGGTGGCGAAGCGTGTACGATTTACGCCAAATTTAATTTAGGTGAGCGAGTGACAGACGTAAAAGATGGACGTGGAAGACTGGAGAGTGAAGAGGAACATGGGATCGGATGACCTTTTTGCGAATACTGTAAAAATATTCTCCACGTGGCACGTTTGGTACATATTCCTGTTACTTTTGGCCGTTGATCTTTGTTTTACTTTTATAGTCTGCCGTTGATCTTTACCGGCGGGTTTTCTGAGACGAAGAGAGAGCGATTCCCACGGATAGTGTTTTTACTTCACTACCCCGCCGATTGCGTGCTAAGTCCCCCTACTACCGGTATTGTCGTTCAATTCTACGCCTTTGTTGTTACTTTGTTAAAACAAATAATATTATTTACATTAATAAAATGAAATAGTGGCTAATCTCATAGTTAGACTTATTAACATGACACTTAAGTGACAAGAAAATAAGCAGTTTTGGGTCAACACGACAACTAATCGGATCACACGATAAGAATCCGTTATTAATGGGTTCTTAACAGGTTTACACGAGGATAATACAGAAATAATCTGTTTCGACACATTAAGAAAAAAGTTATTTTGATATTTTTAATTTTTTAAACTACAAAAAAACATATTATAAAATACAAAAGTCATAGTGTATATGTATATATGTATATGAAATATGTATTATTGTATTATTATTTTATATAAATTTAAATTTAAAATTTAAGTATTATTTATATATTTATTTTTACAGTATACTATAAGTAAAGAGTAAGATTAAAAAAATTATAAAACATAGTAAAAATAAATATATCAAGTAATTAAAAATAACAAACACGTTAAAAATAAAAAATATCAAGTAATTTAAACATATCAAACACATTTGAATGGTTTACAATGTTTGGTTTTTTATGCTTAGTTTATGTATACATCTTTATTAATGAAATATCGTCAAGATAACTGTTGAAGACAAGTTTCAATACCATTTCCTTTGGTGATTGATGAAAATTGAAGGGTTTTATTGTAATTGTACTTTGAACATTTGGTAGTTTATAGTAATGTACTAATATTTTTTTTTCATTAGACTCTTATTTTGAGAGATATAATACTTGAAAGACAAATATTTTTTTTATTTTTTATTTTATGTTTTGAAATAATATTTATGTGACAACACGGTATGCTATATTAATTTAATATTATGTTTTCCTTTTTTCTTTGAGGTCAAATCATGTTTGTCATTTTCATTATTTATTGATTTAAAATATTTTTTTTAACAGATGGGTCGGGTCATATTACTTGATAATATTAACAGGTTGCTTTCGGATCGGGTCATATTACCCGTTCATTTTAACAGGTGTTACACAACACAACTCGTTAAGATATCAGGTATGTGACGAAAATGACACGAACACGAAAAACACGACACAAATACCATGTATACACTCAATTGGCTATTAATAATGTAGTTCAAATTTGTCATTAGCGAGAATTAAACTGAAGGCCTCTCACTTACAAATTTTATGTTCTAGTCCACGTAATAATTATTTTGTTATTCTTCCTCCTTAATTTGGACAAATATTTTAGGACGAGTTGATAACAAATTTTGTTTATGGTCCGTTTGATAACTAACTATATCTATAATCATTTGATAACAATTTATTTATTTTTAGTTGTTTAATTTTTATGTTTTGTTATCAAAGACTGAAGAAAAGTATATGAGAGTGGAGGCACAAAATGAAAATAATTCTAAATTGTTCTTTATATATATATATATGATTAACACAAAATATCAATGTTCCAACTAATACTATACAAAACGAGTTAGTGGTTATTGTTAGTTGTTATGAGGGAGTTAGTGGGTTAATTGTTAGTTGTTAGGAGGGGGGAATTGATGAGAATCAAACCTGCATCAAGGTGCAAAGGCATTGTTGTTGTACGTCATTGCGGTGAAGTGTCACCTGCCTCATTTTTTAATTGAATAGTATGAGTTATTGACACTTAATATTATGATTATTCCTCTCTCAGACCATCTCTAACTTTTGGATTAAAACCTAAAATTTTTAAACTTAAACAATTTAAGTTTAACTCAGAAACAGTTTTTTTTGCTCTAACTGTGACATCCCACATCGCCTAGGAAAGTTATCCTTATATGTGTATTCTCATCCCTACCTAGCACGAGGCCTTTTAGGAGCTCACTGGTTTCGGGTTCCGTTGGAACTCTGAAGTTAAACGAGTAGCGCGCGAGAGCATTCTCAGGATGGGTGACCCATCGGGAAGTTCTCGTCTGGGTTCCCAGAAACAAAACCGTGAGGCCGTGGTCGGGGCCCAAAACGGATGATATCGTGCTACGGTGGTGGGGCCCGGAAAGTGATCCGCCTCCGGCCGAGATGTGACACTAATAATTATGGGTTAAAATTTTAATCCGAAATTAATAAAGAATAAATTTAGGCCAATTATTTTTTTTCGGTAACTTTTTTCAAAATCAATTTTATGTAAATTATCATATCAAATCACAAATTTAAAACCAACATGTCCTAATATTAATAACGATGACTTTTCACTAATCTAACTATATACGTGTCCAATCTTTAGTGATCTAGTCCACTCAAAGTCAAGAATTTGAGATGAAAAAATGGACTGAAATCTCAGGCGTGCAATCTAAAAGGCGAAGATGCTGGTATTTTACTCCACAACATTACCTGTAAAGATTCCAAACTTTTTTAAAACTGGAAAAAGCATCGTCTGTTTACACAAACAGGTGATAACCGATCATTTATTTTTTTATTTTTCTTTTAAAAAAGAAGAAGAAATCAACTAAAGATTTCGTTAAAGCAATCCATCATTTTAAAAGCCGAAAAAAACTTATAAAAGTATTTCAATCTTTTTTTATTATCATCATGTGATTTATCAATGCAAAAAATCGAATTCATGATGCACCTTACTGTGTAAAATACGAGCTAACTCATGCATTTCATTTATTTTTTCACCATTAATGTTTTTACCCAATCAAGCAAACAATCCAACCACATGGCAGCACGTTGAAAAAAATGTAAACATAAAAAGTGAAAAAGTAAATCAGAATCAGTCTGGTTTTAATTTTAACCCCTTTTCTTTTACCTAGAGAGAGGCAAAAGGCCAAAAAGCCTAAGAAGACGTTGAACAATTTACATGGCGAATTACACGTTACAACCTCACAACACCGACACATCACCCACATACGCCCACTTGAAAACAGAAATTAATTAAAAATGGTATTTAAACCATCAATTAGCCGAAAGCTAGATTCTAACCACACTAATTAAAAATTAATTAAAATTAAAAAAAAAAACAAAAAAAAACTAGCACTCTCTCTCTCTCTCTGGCTGTTTGAGCTAAAGCTCAACAACCGACTGGCGCCACGGCGGTCTGCTTGACCTTAGGCGGCCTGCCTCTGCCTCTCGGCGCACCGGTAGCCGGAGCGGGAGCCGAAGCTGGAGCAGAAGACGGTGTCGTTTTGGCCTTCTTGGGAGGGCGGCCACGTGGCCTTCCAGTTCCGGAATGGCTCTTGGGCTGCGGTGGGGGAGCGAAAGGGTCCCTGGGCTTCGGGGGCCTGCCGCGTGGCCTGGGTGGCGAGGAGACAGTGCCGGGAGGGAGAGGGGTCTTGGCCTTGGGCGGACGGCCTCGGCCCCTCTTGGGCGGCGCGTTGGGATCGGGCTTCATGTAGTTGTTCTTGACCAGAACGAGCTCGCCGGTGTCCTTCATCATGTTGAGGTGGTGCGCGAGGAGCGCAGCGTGAGTTTCCGGCAGATCGCCGTAGGTTGACTCGATGTGCTTCGCGATTGCCGACTTGCTCGACCCGTTGCTGTCGTTCAGGGCCTCGATGGCCGCCATGATCAGCTGAAGGACAGAAAAATCAGTAAAATTAGCAAAACCCAGCTGAAATTAAGCGAAGATTAAAAAGGAAAACCTGTTTGGATGCCAAGAAAAGAAAATGAAGGAAAATTGTGGGTACCTCTGGGTACTGGGGGAGGGAGGGAGCTGGCGGCGGTACTAGTGGGTTGTTGGAGCTCTCCATCGCCATGACAACTTCCTCTAAAGAATCTGACTGAGAGATGGGGACCGTAGCTGTTTTCTAGAGAGAAACTGAAACCGTTTTCTAGAGAGAGAAAGAGACTGTTGGTGTTGGTTTGGTGGGAAGTTCAGTCAGGCGGAGAGGATGAGGAAAGAAGTGAGGATTTAAAAGGTTGGTTTTCCTTTGAGGGTCGGACCGAGGGAAAAAGGGGAGGAGGAAGAAGAAGAGAGATCCGACGGTTAGGGCTTGCGAGTTTGTGTTACGATCGAACGGTACAAGACCCTATAGCACTGGTCACATGGCTCGGTGACGTGGACGAAGGACTCAACTGGGCGAAATGACGTAAGAGTCCCTCAATTTTAAATCGTGCCTTGTCCCAAGCGCTTCGAATAATTTGAGTTAGGATTTGGTAAGGCTCTGATGTCCTTTACCTTCGCTAGGCTCAGAGGCTGATTGGCCAAAACGGTGAAGGAGGGCAATATGGTAAAAAGAGTTGACCTATACGGAGCGGCAACCTTTGATTCTTCCGGGATTCAAAAATGGGTCTTCTCTCAGATCCAGCATCCAAGTGCGGAGTGGCCCGCTTTAGGACTCCGGGGTGTGGTCCCTACACCAGATATACTTAGCATATTTCTGTACCATATTTGTATCACCATTCTCATAGAAATATCGTCCATAACAAATAACATATAAAATTGTTTGGATTTTTTTAGTATCCAACCAATTGTTTATTACACTTAATATATAGGGTTGTGATTCTGACACAGTGAAAAATCTCTTCTTAGTGTTGACAGGTGGGACCAAATGGTAGCGCTAGCATATAATTATCATGGTAATATACTCATATTAATCACAACATTTTTATTTTAATATAACGATATATTTACATTAAAAGCAAGTGAATAAGTTGGTTACAAACTAGCTATTTATGAAATTTAAAATTAAAACTTTATACTCACAAAGAAAAAAATATAAATTATTAAATCGCAGTACTAAAGACAACAAACATGTTAATATGATTAAAATTTTATACACATATATGACCCAATGTTATTGAAAAGCTATCATTTTATTGCATACAACATTGTATGTTGAGGAGTGCTAGAATAATATGCCTCGTTTAAGACTTATTGGCAAAATGATCCACAAGATCGACATAACTACTTACTTTAATCCTTCAAATTTGAAATCAATGGAAGTGGTCCATGAGTTTGTCTACCATTAACCATTTTGATCATTGCGTGAATAATCTCGGTTAAGTAACCAAAATAATTTGACAAAAATAGGATTATTTTTGTCATTTAATTATTCTCTAACGAATATTTTTCACATAATGACCAAATTGACTGAAGATTGATAAACTGAAGAACATATCTATTGATTTTAAATTTCAAATACTAAAATAATAAATTAAGCTAATCTCAAAAATTATTTTAGCTAAAAAGCGCTCGTTTAATGACCGTGATTAGACTAAAATGCTTGCTAGAGTCGGTGCATGCTAGAGAAAAAAATGAATGATAATTTTTAAATTTATTTCTTACGTATGTAATCCCTCTTACGCCAATTTACAAAAATTGTGAAATAACGTCTTTTTTTTTTTTTTTTACTTCAACACACTTAAAATTACGCCCTTTGACTTGTTGGGTCCCACCATCCTCTATTGCCGTGCTTGAGTAAAATTACGAATGGATATATTCTTCATTTCTCTGTTCAAAAATGCATATGCTTTATATACTGGAAAATGATCACCGTCAGATCATTTTCTTAGGGATTTCATGATCTTACCCGTTCATTGTATATCGCACGATCAGTTTTCGTTAGATACTATTTATATTTAATTTTAAATTTGGAAATAATTTTTTACAGCATCATGGTGAGATCACGGAATTCCTAAAATTTCAAGAAAAAAGATCCGGCGAGTTTGGTGTGGACACATGTCAAATGTCAAAATGCCTCTCAGGTACATAGCTGACACGTCACCATTTCACTCGTTATTGCCAACTAGCATTGTTATAGGAGACGAAAATTTGAGCTCAGAAGCATAAGAGGAAACACATCCGTTCTGGCTAATGCGGTTAATAGATAAATTGGATGGTAAGTCGGGCCCTTCTTTTGAATAGTTATTCGTTTGAAAGAATTGGAGTTCAATCAAAATTGCGACGGTCTGTAGCATCACTTACCTAATTCATTTCCCTCTTTCAACTTTTTACATGTTATTCGAAAAAATTTTACATTTCTATCATACAAAAAAGAAAGCAATCAAAACCTCTTATAAAGAATATATATACACCTACCTTTCCGCCGGACGTTTCCCACGGGTATCTCGTTCTGGGGCTGTTGAGGTTCCGGCTGCTGAACTGGTCCCGGTTGCAGAAAAGCTCGAATCTGAATAACGGGAATTTGATTCACCAGAAGTTCCGGCAGTGGATGAAATCCCTGCTGGCCGGTGAGATCTTCTATATCTTGATCCAGGTACTCCCGGTCTCATTGGCTCTTCCAATTGGCTTGGTCTCTTGGATAGGATCACAACCACACGATGCATTGTGGGGCGGATTGTGGGATCACCTTGTATGCAGAGCAACCCCATCTGAATGCACATCGTTACTTGCTCGGGGACTGCTGATGATGCTAATGTCGGGTCCATAAACTCCATGCTTCTCTCCTTCTTGTAAAGCTTGTACGCCTGCAGCAACAGTGGACAACGTTTAGGTTTAGCAGTCCCAAAAATCAATCAATTTATCAACCATTCCTTTGGTGACATAAAATTTGACACAAAGGGTGGGCCTAAATCATTGTGATTTATACGGAAGCATCTTCCTGATGTTCATTGTGATTTATACGGAAGTATCTTCCTGATGTTTGCTACTCAAGAAATGTTCATAGCTCGCCACAGAATTTTCACACTTGGCTCATCAAATGATAGTTTAATCTACAATCTTACCCAATCAAGCAGATTCTGTGCATCGACATTTCCGTTGAACGATGAATTTCTTTGGCCACTAATCAGCTCCAAAACCACAACTCCGAAGCTAAACACGTCTGCCTTTGCTGATAAATGCCCATGCATAACATACTCAGGAGCCATATAACCACTGTTTCAAGCAAATTATAAAGGTCTATGTTAAAATCAAGTAAGCAAGGGAGGTCCTGAGTAATTCGACCCCACATAATTAGAAATAAAATTCAGGGCACAAGACACCATACTTGGTACCAGCAACGCGGGTATTGACGTGCGTTTCGTCTTCGGGAAAGAGGCGGGCCATGCCAAAATCAGCAATCTTGGGGATCCATTTATCATCAAGTAGAATATTGCTGGCCTTGATGTCGCGATGTATAATACAATTATGCGAATCTTCATGAAGGTAAAGCAAGCCCCTTGCAATGCCACATATTATATCAAACCTCCGCTTCCAGTCAAGCTCCTTCCTTCCATTCGATTCTGTACAGAGACCGTAAAAATCACTGTCAGTGCGTTATTTAAAAGTCTGTTGACAATCATTTAACCAGATGAAATTAAAACGAGGACGATACACATCACATAATATATCTATTTTTGCCAATTAGGTGTTAAAGTCATGGGGGTTAACCAAATGGTGTAGATTGTTCTCCATCTTGAGCTGGCAAGGTTGTGTCAACAACTCAGAAACTTCGGTTCGTTGCTTGGCTGAAAGAATGTTGATAAGGTCAAGGTCTTAAGATCCATCTCCTTCACAAGGTTCAAATCAAAACTTGAAAACTAGGCTTATGATGTCATAATTAACAGATGTCAAAGTACCTATCAAAGATGTTACTGTAATTGCCTTCAGCTAATACAGAAAGAAATTGTGGTCAATAAGTATTTTTAAGAATCAACGAATATATTAGGATTCAAAGAGCGTTCAAACTAGGCCTTCTGATTTTCCTCGATATACCTCAAGTTTGACTAAATTTCGGATACAATTCTGACAAACATATCAGGAAATGTGATGGAGTTGGGGGTTCTAGTATGTATGATCTTCAGAACTAAAGTGAATTGATCCAAAATCAAGAAATCTGTACAACTTAAGTTTCTGCTAATTCACCTAACCAGCGTTTAAGATCAAAATATGGAGTAAGGAAAATGAGGAAAATCTTAGTAGATATGATACCGCAAAAGACTCGTATAGAATCAAATATCAAATTATTTGTGCTGATCTATAAACAAAACACTGAACATGGTTGCATTATCTATTGTTCTTGATGCAGTTGCCAAATAATAATCTGATTGTAAAGTGTAGAAGGATTAACGAGTGCTTACTGAAGAGAAGCTTGTCGAGGCTCTCATTTGAGACATACTCATAAACAAGTAGTTTCTCTACCCCGTGTGCACAATAGCCCAACAAATTCACAACATTACGGTGCTGCACACGAGCTAGCAACTTGGCCTCATTCAAGAACTCTCTCTTTCCTTGATTTGAACTATGTGACAACTTCTTCACTGCAATTTCTCTCCCATCCTCCAACCTCCCCTGAGAAAGAAGCACCACACAAGTTTTAAGACACATTAACTGCCCCATTTACTTTGTCTCTTGGGAATTTAAGGATCTATTCAACAAGGCAAAAACTCGGTGGTATGTCTGGTCGCAAGATACATATGTAATCAGGGAGAAAAATGTGCTTAAAGTTTATAGTTTAGCAAGATACCTAGTTTAGAACATTACATAACACTACATTGGCAATGAAGTCATTTGCGACTTCACCTTTGGTGTAACTTCCTAATGAAACGAAAGACATACACGTTCAATATACGTGAGAATCAGGATAACATTCTTCCGTTATATTGTCAATGTAATCCTTCAATTTCAGTAGAAATGAACTCAATCCTTAACACCCAAGAAAGCAGCGGATTAGAAGAAAGTAGCAGGTGGTGGTGGTGCATACAAGTGCATGATTAAGTCGATAACTAATCTAAGTTTGTGTTTCTTATTAACTAATAACCATCATCATTATCTAATTAAGCTAAGGAACAATCTTCTACACACTGCTTGCAACAATTCTGACATTTTACAAAACAATTTGTTTCACTAAATGCCAACAAAAATATAAACAAAACAAAAAGATAATAATTTATTTCACTAAATAATTAGTATCATTAACTATGAAATTATAAAATAACTAGAGAGACGAATTTGAGAAACAAGTTCAGCAGAAAGAAAAAAAATGTGAGCTTGAAAAAACTTTCTTTCCCAAAATTTTCTCAGCAACCAAACAGATTAGTCAAACGAAAACATTAGCAGATCTACCTTATAAACGGGTCCGAAACCACCTTGTCCGAGCTTATGAGTGGGGTGGAAATTCCTCGTGGCAGCAACCAAAATTTCGAAAGGAAAAACCTTCTGTTCCTGCTGAGCAATCTTCTCCAAGTCCTCTTCGTTCCGTCCGTCTGATCAAATAAAAACAGAGCAAAATACACATAAAAACATAAATCATCTGATACAAGCACAAAACGAATGAATTTCACGAAATTGCAAACTGCGTTTTTGAAATGAACGAAATTGAAAACTGGGTTTCTGAAATTCCGGAAATTGCAAACTGGGTATCGATTTTGACCTCTGCTGGAGCCGAACCCACAAGTTTTCACAAGATTGTTGAAGAAATTCTTGGACTTGGTCATGGTTTTCTGAGACTTTTAGAACAGCCCAAGCCCCATAAATGAACACAGAAGAAGAAGAAGAGCAGGTGGGGCTTGTGGAATTTCACTTTCTGCGAATTAGAAATCACGAACCGTGGGATTTGGAGGTGTTGGAGAAAATGATTAATTGCGTGGATTTTTATGAATCCCGTGGGAATGAAACAGAGAGAGTTTGAGGAGAACGGAACGTGTTGACTTAGATGACCCCATGTGTTGACTTGTTGTAGATTAGATAATATTATTTTGTTTTTTTTTTTTTTTTTAATTTTTTAAGGAAAGAGAAGAAGTCAAGAACGCATGTTTACAAGAATTAAACGAAGGAACGATTCCTTCATACATGTGACGGAAGCAGTGAACTGGGAAGTGACCGATTTTTGCCTCAAGGGTAAGGGCAATAAAATGTTAAATTTAGAAAATAAAAGATTAAAAAATTTATTGTTAATTTCACAACGGTTGATCTAACAATATAAAAAAATAAAAAAAATAAAGAAATAAAATAAACCCAAAATTATTTGGGAGTCCCATCATGTGTTAGGACTCCACGGACTCAAAATGAACATGCCCCTCGCCCCATTTGAGAGTCCGGACGTAGTCCTCAATCGTGAGGAAATTTTTGGGGTCTATGGGTGGTCCCTGTACTATAGGGATTGAAATTACAGTTCATTGGAAACCACCGAGTTCTTAGACTTAAGGATGTGAGGTGGTGAGAACAGGTACATAGACAAATATAGAAGATGTTCTAAATAACTACACAATTGACAATTAAAAAGTGACTGTATAATTTTGACCTTTGAAATGTCCGATTACGTTTTTTATAGGGCACTTTTTCATAAAATCACATTTATTTTGATGTTAACTCTTAACCTAACAACCTTGCTGAAATTTTCATTGGTCTGAAAACAAAGAAGGTCGGCCCCAAATGGCATTTTCCTCTCCTTGAAAATTCCTTATTTTGTTATAAGTTTCTCTACAGATTTGGTTATTGCCGCCTTCCCTTTTACTTCTTTCAATTTCAGTTGCGTTTTATTGCGAGTTTGTTGTTGTTCACCCCTAACTCAAAGTAATCGTTACCTTGAATTAGGAGTGAGAAAATTGAATTAACCTTGCTTTTGCCTGTGTCAAATTAGTATTTTAAACATTTCAAAGTTCCTTGTTTGGTATGTGTTAGTGGTGCTTAAGAGATAATGGAGTTGATCGTAATTGAGAGTAAATTTGAAGTTAGGTTTATATGATTGTGAGTTTTGACTATAAATCCTTAATATAATAAATCTTTGTGAGTTTTGACTAGAAATCCTTAATAAATCAAATCAACTTTCCTAGAAACATCCATGTACACGTACTTAAAATTGCACACAGTGCAACTATGATATCATGTATAAAATACTTTGAATCATACTAGGAATCTCTCGATTGCAAATGGCTTAACATTTGATCGTGAATGCGCTTGGTTTCATGATCCATCATAATTTCTCACGAATTTATCGATAGAATATATATAGTTCCGCAAGCATGTATTATTTTTTCTCTGTTTAGATTGAAATTTTCAATAAGGTTTTAATAAGGCCACATTGCATACTTATCTTCTTATACGATTTCAACCAACTTTAGAAAAATGGTACTACTATCCACACAAACATTTTTACCCCTCTCAATTTTCGATTGTCGAATTGATCAATCGAAGAAGATCAATGACAAAAATTAATAAGGATGTGTATGAGGTAAATATTAGTTTATAAATAACACTACTCAAGAAAAATGAGTTGCTCTTACACACGTATCAAATTGTTATTTACAAATTGTAAGTAAGCAAGGAAAATGACTTCTTACACATATTAATGCCTTTTGGTTTTTTGTTTTTGGGTCTATGTTCAAGGTCCCAAGACCAAGACCAAGTAATGGGCTGGGGTGTGGACAGGATCGTGTGTGAATTGGACATTGTGATTCATAAAGTCCGTGGATTATGACGTCTCATGTGGTGATATTTATTTTTTCTTTTTTTTTTTGGGTGATCAATCGATAAATTTGTTAGACTGAATGTTAGATTAGGAAGTTGATAGGGTTTGAACTCACGCCGTAGTGAAATGACAATGCTCTTCTCCACCATTATGATAGAAGGTCACTTGCCAAGTGGTGGTAATGCTTACAATCATATTTATTACCGTTGTATGAGTTTAAATTTTGAGATTTGTGTTTATTCACTAAATACATTATGATATTTAAACTTATCTAATGCTGATAAATAGGATGGTGAGTATCACCTATTACTTGAAGGTGGTGAATACAGATATTCCCATATTCATTACTTTCACAGTACAAGATTAAACTCGTTTAATACTAAATTAATCGTTGAGTATTGGTTGCTATGGATGTGATGATATGCCATTGTTGGGTGGCTGAGATATCCCCTTTCTCCTGAAACAGATGGATGATGCTTTTCGGTCATTGATGTGAAATCATGATTACAACATGCACTGACCGAATAAGCACCGCCGAAAGTCAAGACTAAAAACCACATGTCCGTACAATTACTGCAAACTCAAACAAGCATCTTCCACACCAGAAAAAGTGAGCACAATTTTATAAGGAAAAGAAAGGCTATGCAAATATCCAAATTTTATAAGAATTGTCACTGTCCTGTAGTGATATTCTAAGCTAATCACTTAGTTATCATACGTTTTAACTTTTTTATATGTTATTACATGATTGATTGAGATATTATCACAATAACACATTGGTGGACATGAAAGTTTGTTTTTATTTTTATTTTTGATAAACTGAGGGGAGGAGCTAAACGCCGCAAAAGCATTAAACCATCTGAAAAGTACAAACTAGACGATTCTTATCAACCATAAAATATCATCCAACAAAAGATCACCAATCAAACAAGAGGTTCTTCAAGAAAACAAAACCCTAGATCAAAAGTTGTAACTCCGATGAAACAGACATGGAAGTCAATTTTTTGTAATGCAGAACGTGTTCATTTGGACCTATATGCTCTCTTCTTCTAGCCAGCCCTAACAAATTTGACAAAAACTCGGCAGTAGAGCAGCAGACTACACACAATGTTATTCCTCACTGAGTATGAATGCAGCTTAATTGGGAAACAACTCACATATATTTAGTTTATGATTAAGTTAATCACCCCTTAATATTGCCTCTGTCCAAAAACAGTATTAGCTGTGATTAGACGTCCGACTTTTGTCTTTAGCAATTATCTTGTTGCATTGGTTTCTACATGCCAACCAACCAGTTTTATACTCAAAGAAACATCCATGTGATATTGAAAACGACGTTTCTTCACCTTTTCAAATTACAAACGATATTTTATCCTAAACTAATTTAAACAGCAGGGAAGGAACGAATTAAGTGCCAATATAAAAGCACATCCGGTCTAGCTAGTATAAACAAACACTCACTTTTATATACTTACAGATGGATACATGTAGTATACAAGTAGCAACTCAACTTTGACCCTCAAATAACAATAAACAAATCCCATATGATCAAATGATGCAAACTAAAGATGGTGACAGAGAGAAAAAGGGGGATTAGAAATCCCCCCCCTACATTTTCCTTCACTTTCTTTTCCTTTCCTCCAAACAAAACTTAAGAAAAAGAGTGTCCTAGTTCTGACTGTCTAATAAACTAATGACGCTATGTACCTGGCACTGGAATATCTTTGTTGGATCTCGATCGCCAGCTTTGCAAGCCAGGCCTTTTCTCCTCACAACATACATTTTGACAGGGTGGCTTCCCCACCTCACTATCCTACTCTACACACTCCAGAAAGACTTGGTAGGGACGCCTGATGATGTCATTTGTAGGGCACTTCTCACGTAAGAACAAGACTCCTGTATGTCTCGCCCCATGTGAGGGCTGCTCTAATAAGCATTCCTAACCGTAGTTTCTCTCCTACACGCATACGCTTCTCATCCCCCTTTTTCCTTCAAAGGTGTTTGATATAAGCGCAGCCCACAAAAATTTGGACTTTCACCGAAAAACAGAAGAAAAAAAGTGGTAAACTAGAATTTGTAGTCCACCATGATGACCAGGAAGAGCCTCCCTCTCCATCCAGGGAATCCCCCCACTTGACATTGTTCAAACTGCATAATTGTGTTTAATGTTCCGCTTATATTCGCAGCTGTTTTACCTGAATGCAGCAAAATCTGCAGTAACAAATGCCCGCAAAATTAACCAAAAAAACAAAAAAAAAAAGCGCTATTCCAATGCAGTTGAAAGTATCACAGTTTGGAGTTGAAAGGCTTATGATTTTACCTATGAACTCTTTATAGATCGCTGTCCCCCGTGGTCCTCAGATGGAGTTCTACACTTCGCAGGTCGCGAAGATGTTCCAAAATTTCTTGGAGGAGAAGTAATCCCTTATCTCCTTTCCTCAAGGAGGAAATACAGTGCTTTAGGAACTCCCTATCTGCTTCAAGTGCTTGTAGTCTCTCGTACACATGATCAACCTCCTCTTCAATAGCAAGGTTCTTGCTCTCAGAGTCTTGCGACGTAAAAGAATCATACCCTTCTGTGTTTCCATTCAATTCCCCGTCTTCTGTTTTTGTTTCGATGGCATCAAATAATGGAAGAAGCCTCTTTGCCTTCAAGCCCTTGACAATTTTTCTATCTTGATGCTGGTGATTTCCATTCATTTCTTTGGAATGGCCATTTGCAATGCCATTGCCATTTATTTCACTACTAACATCCGAACTTTCATGGTAACCATTTCCATTCTCCAAAAATAAAGTGCTCACTTGGTTTTATATCCCCGTCATATACTTCTTCCTCTTCGTCGTTCAAGGTCAAAAGCTTCTCTTCCAACTCCTTGAGCTGGTCTAGAATGGACAACTTCTCTTCCTCAAAGCTAGCCAAAGATTCCTCTAGATATAGCACTGCATCCACCGGTGTGTTTTGGTTGCTACTTTCCTCATGGCCATATAAGCAATCTTCTTCCTTCGATTCGTTATTCAAAACATTAGAGAGTCCATCGCTATCCTCACCATTGCTAAAAGCACCGGATGAAGTCCTACTTTTCGTGCTTCCATCTTTCATTCTCCTCAAAATCATCATTTTCTCTTTGACCTCATAATCCTGCAGTTTCTTTCGACATATTTCCAGCTCCTTTTCGAGCTCTTGCTTTTCCTTTTCCCGCTTCACCATAAGCTCATTCAAGAGCTGCATCGCTTCC